TTAGCATTACCCTTAAAAATTTTATGTTAAATTTAAGTATATATTAAAACGTGGATCAATAATTATAGTTTTTTATTTTAAAAAAAACAATTTTATGATGTGATTTTCACTTCACAACTTTATGACATGATTTTCACTTCACAATTTTGCCACGTGAAAATCACGTCGCAACTCACTGTGACTTATTCTTCCAACTCTACTTATACTCGATTACAACAAGTAACAACAACTAAAGCTGACATATCAGAGCAGAATATTGTGTCATGAATATCACATGGCAAACTGTTGCGACGTGATTTTCACGTGACAAAGTTGCGACATGATTTTCATGACACAACAGAGTTGTCATACGTGTTCTTGCCGTGTGAAAGTTCACGTCGCTGAAAATGTGTTATGACGTGCTTTTTCACATTGTTGTGACGTGAATATCATGTGGCTACAGACAATTTCTTTGTTTGTAGTGTGAGTATATTCTGGCAGGTTCAAATTCGATTGAGCCAAATGTGGACCTTTACATTTGGAGTTTAGCAACAGGCAGAAAGGGAGATAATGAGTACTTTTATGGTGTTGGATCTATGGTCGTCAATTACAGAAAAGGCGATAGAAATTTATTTACTAGAATTGCATATGGGAAAGGATCGCCACGTCCACCAGAATTGATACCTGAAATGATGGAAACACTGAGACAACTAGCTCTAATTGAGGCGAGACGCAATACGACAGCACGCGAGGCGATGCTAAAGGCTGATTTGGAGGAGATGAAGAAGAGACAACTTGAGATGGAAGAGCAAATGTGATAATATATGTTCTCACAAATGAACCAAACATATGGTACAATAAGTGAAAATTAAGAATTTGGTGGAAATGACGAATTTGGAATAGTTGGTGGCTAAGGAACGATAAATGAAAAGGAGGATGGAGAAGAAGAAGACGAGATCTATGTCAATGATTGATTTTTTTATTATTATTTTACTTTTTAATAATATCAATTTATGTATTTATAATTTTATTTTACTTTTTAATCATTTTAATTGAATTTTTATAAGTTTTTCATATTTATAATTATTATTTGAAAAAATATATATTAATTATTAATTTTTTTTGTATTTTTATTAACTATCTAATATTTTATTTATTGTTTATTAAAATAAAAAAGCGAAATGAGAATCACGTGACAAAAGCGACACAAATTTAATTTTGTGCCGTATTTTTCACGTTGCAAGTTAGTCAAAAACTGCACCCGTACTCTAACTGGTAGCTGAGGGATGTGCCACCCTATGTAAATATTAGTGACAAAATTATCACATAGTAAATGTTTGCGACATGTTATTCACGTGACAACTGAGTTGCGATTTATTCTCAAGCGGTGTGTTAGCTCACGTCGTTGATTTAGGAATTACGATCTAATATTGTGGTCTGTGACGTGATTTTCATGTGACTAATTTTTTTTTTTTAGTGTTGAGACTCTTTTTATACCTCATAACTCACACTATTCTTCATTCACTTACTCAAAAAATTCTTATATAGAAACAACCATAACATGTAATTATACATACAATCGATTACAATTTATTTATTAATTAAAAAATAATAAATACAATTTTCTCTCTCATTCATATCACAACCACCTCATAATTCTAATTAAAAAAATTTTAAATTTTTTTCTATTTTTATTGGATGTTTCTAAAAATAATTTATGAACATTTTCATACAAGTTTTTCTCCACTTACTGGACATCGAAGGATTAATCTTATAAGTCTACCCTATACCGTCAATCAAAAAACCAATTCATCGAGACTCTATTCCATCAATTCACAAAATATTTTTGGTTTCGGAACGAAAGAATACATAACAAAAATATAAAAGAAAAATGAGATAATAGTTTATAGAAGTTGTAAGTTGTAATTATATAAATGAGAAATGAATGTTACGTGAGAGATGATGAGTAGAAAATGTAGGATCAAGAAACGCAATTATTTATTAGAAGTAGAATTAAGAATTCCATAATACATGGTTGGGGTTCCTCATTCACCGAACATACTTCAGCACAAAACCTTTGGCTTGTCTACTAGAAAAAGAAAAGTTGTTGGATTCAAATCTCCACCATGCACGTATTACGCGTTCAAACCCTATTTATTTCATATTTCTAAATTATTCATACTTTCATTAAATGTTTTTAATTATTCTTCCATTTGCATTCACATATATCATATAATAAGCAATAAACAGCCTCACATTTACGTTTACAATACTTTCAGTCAGCTCAGATCTCAGTGGCATTGTCTTTTTCCTCCATCGATTCAAATTAAATTTTATGTGTTCCGTTCAAAGCCATCTACTTTTAAACAATAATTTTTTTTATAAACAAAATAAAAATAATCACTTGAAATTTCCAAACAACATAAAGTTTCAAAATTCAAACTTTAGTCAATGTTTATAAAGTACAAACACCCGAACACGATCTCAACATCACATAATATTCATAATAATTAAAAATAATAATTTAATTTAATTTGATCATAAATGTTAATATAAGTACTCGACACTAACACAAATACGGATATATATATTTTTAAATGTATTAGTGCTGCTTAATTAGAGATTCATCGAATTCAAGACAAATTTCTTAAGTATAATAAGTGTGAGTAATGTGGATAATAGTCTCGTAGTAGATAAAAATATGGTAACTTGCAATTGCATAGTTGAAGCTTCCGCTTAAGGGGAGCATTGTGGATAGACTCACGCTTGAGGATGAGTGTTAAGTATAACAAGTGTGAGTAGTGTGGATAATAGTCCTATATTGGATATGAATGTGGTGATATGAGCATTTATAAGTGGAGAACTCACGCACGTATCACCTTAAGGTTTTGGGTGAATATGTAGTATGTCTCTCACAACGATGTTGCTCTAAAAAAATAAGTTTCACAATGTACAATACTCTATAGTAAAGATCTCCCATAACAAAATTCATATCCACAACAAAGTATAAACTCACGATCTTTTGATGTATGAATCAACTTTTTTAGGGGTGGCAAAATAGGTCGGCTTGATGCGAGGTGGACCAAGGAATTAGGCCTTCACCTCTAATGTGTTTGTTTGCGGGTTTTTGCAGCTATTTACATAAATTTTTACGTTTTTAATCTTAAATGATGTAGAGTTTGCAGACTTTTTCTATCCACTTCATTTTTTTACCGGACAGATCTAAATTTTATGTCTGCATCCTCAACTATAATCTTTTCACTTGACTCTATTTTTTTATAAATTTTTATAAGATGAGTTAATTAACCGGAACGGACATGTCCGTTTGTCACCCTTATTCTAAATTATTAGCAGAGAATATTGAACTCATTAACAACCAAATTACTTTATCATTTTTCTAAATAATACACACCTAAATTTAGGGAACCTTAAAAAAATGGATGGATGGAGCTAGGGTACCTTGAAATAAGGGTTTGAACGTGCAGGACACGAGGGACCACGTGGGGGTCTCCGATGACAACGTTGTGTGGGTTCAAGGAACCTTAGCTTAATATTTTTAGATTTGAAAACCATTTTTTCGAGGTAACCCTTCTTTTTACGTTTTTGTTTTACCTATAATAATAATTTAATTAGATCCATGCCATGCGCATTCTTTTCAAACCATAGTTTCTAATTGGGTATAGTAAAAAATGTTTACGAAAAACTTGGACTTTAGTAGGGACTCACGTGCTTGTCTTATCCTTAAATAACGTGTTACTTTTTGCTCTTTTTTTTAATCTCCAAAAGTTGAGTCTCCAATAGTAATCTTGTTTTTGCTTTGGGTCAATGAATATGAGGCATTCAAGGTAGACATGGTTTAAGAATCCAAGTTTATGTCCGTGGGTACTTCCAAAACAAGGTTGGATTGCATATAATACCCAAAAATTTGGGCATATTATTGTTTGTCAATTTGTTCGTGTGCATATATAATTTATTATTTATAATAATAATAATAATAATAATAATAATAATAATAATAATAATAATAATAATAATAATAATTTGTATGCATTTTGTTTCTCTGTAGCTAGAACTGTGACATATCATATTTATAAAACAAAAAACTGACACATGCATGCATTTGCAGCAAAATAAAATTATGGGCATATTTGAACATAAATTATGGGCATATTGGTTTTCCCATAAGTATACTTTTATTGATAAAAATATGAAATATATATTGTGCCAGTCCAGTTTTAATTTTATTGCTACACTTTTAAAAACTGAAAATATATATTGTGACTATATGACATATGATACAGGTGTTATTTTTTTTAGTTTTCTTTTTTGTGGAGCTTGTTGAGTTGTCAAAAATCATTGCCTAAAAATATTGACTATTAAAATTTAATTTAAAAAAAAATGATTTTGTTGAAAAATACAAAGGTACAATATTATTTTGCTGGCAAAAAAAATATATTTATAAACTAAACCTTGGCGGAAATTGTAGAGTTTAGAATCAATCACTAGTGATTTGTCTGTATCAGGCTTCTTCCTAGAATGAAAAACAATACAAAATTACACTGTTTTTAATTACTACTAGTTTACTACCAATTACTTTTAAATGTTTTCATAAAGTGCACATTTTAAAAAATTACACTAGTTCTTTTTGATAGTATACTATATATACTCTCGGACAAGATGAAATTAATAAAATTACAACCTCCTTCTATAAGAAAATTATTAAAAATAATTAATATTTTTTTTTGAAGGTTTTGTTATTTTTAAATAAAATATCAATAATATATTAACATTAATATATCACAAACAAATATAAATAAATATTCATCATGAATTTTAATTTTTTTAATTCAATCCTCTCTTTTCCTTTTGCGACTTTTGGTCACCTGCTCGTTTTTTCGGCGAGACTCAGGCCTAGCGACCAAGAAGTGGTTACCGACTAAACTGAGCCTGGATGGTTTAAACTCCAAGTTTTTGAACTAGAGACCTTTTTGGTGAGGTTTGAAACTGGTTATTGGAAGAATATGGGTCGAGGGAGAGGGATGCCTAAGAAGAATAAGGCGTCGTCACCATCGATTCTAACCACCCTCTTGCAACAAAGTTTTAGGAAAGATGATTTAGAGAGAGGATCAATTATGGATACTGAATCCAACTCAGTGAAGAGTTGTGATGAGAAGAAGGAAACGCTAGAAGTCAAATTCTCTAAAACCCCCGCAGTGGTGAATGTAGAATCAGAAACAAAGGAAAACATTGATGTACCAACACCCAAGCTCTGGATTGACATCATAAGTGGGAACAAAATTCCATCTAATGGAGCAACAATCGAGTTTGTCTCCCCAAGCATAGTGGAAGGAGAAATTGAAGTTGACATTGAGGAAGCTGACATTGAATTTGAGGTAAAACTCTGGGACTCAGCTCTAATAATGTATGTCATATGGAAACATCTTAGCATGAATGCAGTTAAGCAATATATGATAAAATTTAGGAACTTTGTGAAATTACCATATTTATATTACAATGAGGAGGGTTATTTCATTCTGAAACTTAAGTCTCATCAAGAGAAAGACTTCGTTGTGATGAGGGTCCTTATACCATACAAAATATGCCTATGGTCCTTAAGAATTGGTCTCCTAATTTTGATTTAAAAAGAGATATGATGTGTATCCTTCTTGTTTGGATAAAACTCCCCAACCTTCCTTTACATTTGTGGGGTGTTAGAAGTTATGGAAAGATAGGCAGTGCCTTAGGTATCCCATTGTTCACTAATGAGTGAACTGCAAACAAACTTAGGGTTTCTTATGCTAAAATTCTGGTTGAGATTGAGGTTACTCAAAAATAGAAGGAATACATCATAATCAAGGACACTAGAGGGAACAAAAGGAAACAAATCGTGGAATATGAGTGTAAACCACTATTTTGTGAGAGATGTCAAAAGGTGGGGCCTCAATGTAAACCCAAGGCAAAGAAACATTGGTAGCCCAAACCTCACCAAGAGAACACAACAAAGCAAGCGGAACCTAAAAATGACAGGGAGGAGCAAGAGAACCCAACCAACCAAGTTGATCCTAAAGATGACAGGGTCGAACAAGAGATTTCAGGTTAGGAAAATGTTAGAAGCAATGGTAGAAATAAAGGCAAAGGTGTCATGACTATCACATGCCGGAATGGATTTAAGGCCTTAAGGATTGGAATTCCTGAAAGGTCATAAGCATATGTGGTATGATGATTTCTTGGAATGTAAGAGGGATAAATAACTCAGGAAAGTGTCAGGAGGTTGTCTCCCTCCTCAAACAAATGGACCCTAAAATTGCTATTCCATTAAAAACTAGAGTTAAACCCCAAATTGCTTTAAAAGTTAGGAATAAGTCTGGCCAAAAGTGGAAAATGATTGATAACTATTCCAAGCACAATAATGGGAGAATATGGATATTATGCGATGAGACTAGAATAAAGGTGACTACCCATACCATGTCTACCCAATTTATTTATTGTATTGTTTACTGATGCGTTCGCAAGTGCACAGAAATATCAAAGTAATATAAAAGATTGTCGAACCCACAGAGACCAATGTCAACCTATCATTATCTATTGCTGCTATGTAAAGCTAATGCTAATGAAATATATATTTAGGGAAACTAAAACAAGAATTAAAACTAAATTAAGATTTAGGAAATATAACAAAAAAGAAGACCAGAATGTGGATTCCATTGTACCTCAGAGACTCTGTAAACCATTGGCGTTAATTTATGGTTAAATTACATTCTGTAGAAAATACTAATTTAAAAACTCTATCTAACACTCTCACGCTATTGATTAAAGTCACACTTCCTAACCATGAGATTTTGCTCCCGCTCGCCCATTTTAATTAAGAGACAAATTTTGAAAACTAATTAGATCCTAATTGATACCTAAAGTTCTCTTGTTGTATTTAGGATCAATGTCCAGTTCCCACTATCCAGCCCAATTCTCACACTCTCGCGCTATCCACTCGAACCTTTATTTTCTTTTCACTATCGTGACAAAACCATTTGAATTAAACTTGGAAACTAAAGCCAAAACAAAATTTAATAAAAAGTTTTGCGCCAACTAATTACTGAGTCTCGTCGGAACGACAGTCCTCACATACCGGACCCAAAACAATTTAGCCAGACATGGTTGTAGAAACAATTAAATAATTTTGGATTTTTGAATTAACTAAAGTAATAATAAGAAATTTAAAATAATTTAAACCAATGCTTGAAGAAAAGGGTAAAATTTTGAAATGATAACAATGGTAAAAAGATAAAGCATAAATGTAAATTGTGGAAAATAAAAGCAGGAAACTAAATATGATGAATGTAAAGGAACCTGTAATAAAAACTAAAATTAAATCCAAGGCAAGATTGTTGATCCAAGCAAGTTACACAAATTATAGACCTAAACACTAATGGTGAAGTAGTTTCTTGAATTGAGAAAACTACCCCTTCTACAATGGTGATTTCTGCCTAAAACTATGAACAACACTTCCGCGTACAAAACTTGGATGCCTCAAAATTGTGAATCCAAGGTTTATTTATAGGAGGAATTTAGTTTACTAACTTTTAAAGATCATGAATGAGTCATGGAGAAAGTGGTAGAAACCTCAAAAGTAGTGTTGTAGTGGGCAGTTAGTTTCACGTTTCTGAACTGAATGGCGACTGCCATTATACATATGACGACCGCCATTATCTTTAAGTGGGAATATGACATGGTAGGGTGCAATGGCGAACGCCATTAGGTTCATGGTGACTGTCGTGTACCAGAAAAAGGAAAATTTTCATTTTTTCTTCATTTTTTTTTGCTCTTCTCCCAGTTTTCTTGCACGGACGCTCTTATTCAAAAAATAGTTGAAACACAAACATAATACGATATAATAATATGATAAATAAGTAAAACTACATTAAATTGCATGCAAATTGAGTCAAAATAAATGATACATTTTCACGTCATCAAACACCCTCACACTTAAACCATTGTTTGTCCTCAAGCAATCAACCAACACGATATAAAGAAATAAGCGTGATTCAAAAAAAGACACAATGAGACTCTAATTATACGTGGATGCTAGGCTAATGTTAGACCGGTAGGTGCTAAATATCAATATCAAGGATACCGTAACGACACGATTTCAAAAACTCCCTCCTTATGCAAACCAATCTGAATCATGCCATTATAACTCAACCTATATCTCTTGCTCTCTTTCACCCCCATTTCATTATAGTGCATATCTTATCATTCATCATTTCTCTCTCTCTTAATTTCTCATTTTAAACCAGAGATCATACACTTATTTACATCAGCTTCTTACTTAGTGTGTGCTTAGGATGGTGTTGACTGCTAAAATAAACTACTTAGGGGATACTTTTAAAAACTAGAGCTTAAGGTCTTGGCATAATGTATATTCAAATTGATATCGCATAATTAGCGAGTTTAAGGTGTTAGGACGGTATTGATGTTATTGAAACTTTTCCAAGCCTTTATAACATAGCCTAAACAACCTATATACTCTCAGAGTGTTGTGCCATGAATCAAAGCAAAAAATTTTTGGAGGATTAAAATTTTAAAATTTTGGGAAAATTTAATAACAAGTGAAAATCACGCATAACAACTCGAGAGCACAAGCAAAGACTCGACAAAACATTAAAAACAGATAAAAGTCTTAAAAACATGAAATAAACTAGAAAATGATAAACCTAACTAGAAAGCGATAAAATTAAAGTGGTAAAGTTCCTCCCGTACACTTAAGTCAAACATTGTCCTCATTGTTTTGATAAAAGGTGGAAAAAGGAAATATAGGACCTGTGTGAATTGCTACTGCGTGCCAAATCCTTTATGATCCTGCTCTTGTTGTCCATGTCTTCACTGACCACATCTGCTTCGACGACGGGCATTTTGAGATACCTTCATCTGTTTGAGCTTGTAATGCTTGCATATGTTGCATGTAGCCCATCATCTCTTGTTTCTGTTGATACGTGGCATAAAATAGACTATTGCCTTTGCCATTATGAGATCTTCAATTGCGCAATTCTTGAACCGACTCATCATATTGCCCGCTTCCAGAGGAAGTACCTGCAATAGTGTTAGCAAAAATATGGTGTGGTGTGTGCAGGTGGAACCTGACCATGTGAAGAACGAGAAAAGGTGAGATACGGACGAGAGAGACATACTCTCTTCCATCGTACTCATCATCGGTGTCACCAGCAGCAGCAAAATTTGTAGGAATATCTGTGGGCACCAGCTCATCTCCAATATTGTCATTTGAGTCATAGAACTAAATATCCCAATTTTTCACATTGATGCGGCTTGGGCATGTTAAAAATTGATATTCTGAACAATAGCATTATTAATCAATAAATTATTTGGAGGGTAGAACCTAGAGGTTTTTCTCTTAGAAGTGGATGAGACGTAACAAGTGATGCATCTCTTTATTATTTGCAAATTCTAACAATGAAAGGAAAACATTAAATTAAAAGTCTGTGGGTTGCCTCCCACACAACGCTTATTTTAATGTCGTTAGCTAGACCATTTAGGAGTGCAAGCACTAATGGTGGTTCTCTCGAGAATGATTCCTCGATCAAAAATTTGATGATCCTCAGTTTCCATGGCCACTTATCAAGCCATCTCTCATATCCTTCACCTTTTCTTTTCTTCCTTCCGTGGGGTGTTTCTTTCTTTTGAACTTGTGGTGGTGGTTCTGGCTCTATCCTGAGTATCAGATTTTCAAGTTTGGGCTTAGTTATTTCATCCACCACCTCAAAGGCTAACCTTCCCGTCTTGATAATAAAGATTTCCCTAGTTTCATGGTACTCTAATTTTCTCTTTTTATGCATGACCTCAAGCAAGGGTGCATTGGTGAGGGTATTTTCCAATTCCTCCACATACGTTTTGGATTGGGAGTCTACCTTAGCTTTCACAAGAATTTACGGAAAGGAATCGGTGGGGTATAGGAAGGAGGAACAATATTAGGTACTTCCTTCTCTACCTCTTCGACAACCTCCCTTTCGGGTGGTGTCGGTGGATTTTTCTCAATCTCCACTTCCTTAAATCTTTGCGGGATAAGGATCGATGGGTTATAGAAAGGAGGAACAAAAATAGGTGCTTCCTTCTCCACCTCTTCGACAACCTCCCTTTCGGATGGTGTCGGTGGATTTTTCTCAATCTATACTCTTTTCTCATCAGAACTCTCCTCAACCTCATTATCACTCTCCTTAGGATTTTTGATTTTTTTTCACTACTGGATATTACAACATCCACATGTCTCTTAGGGGAGGGTCCTATAGGTGTCTGTGTAAGCAGGGAGATTTGAATCTCCAATGCCTCGGTGTGAGTCGCGAGGGACTCGACCATAATGTTCACCTGCCTAAGATTTTCATTAATTTAGAGATGTTGTTTTCTAAACTCTTCATTTTGGAGAGTTTGTGTTTCCACAAAGCGCTCAATCATAGATTCTATCCTAGAATGAGTAAGCATTGCATTGAAATCCTCCATTAATACTTCAAGGTAGGATTTATGAGATTCTTACGAATCCTCAAAATATTGGGAGTGGTAATTGTAGAGGAAATCTGGGTGAGAGTGAGTTAGAGTCGCATTGAAATCCTCCATTAATATTTCGAGGTCGGATTTAGGGAATCTTACAATTTCTTAAAATATTAGGAGTGGGAATTGTAGAGAAAATTCAGATGATACATAGTAATCGAGACAAGAGTGCCTTAGTCTATACGGTGCAACGACTAAATCACAATATTAACTGTTGGTCTCCAACAACGGTGCCAAAAACTTTATGCGTCTGCAAGTGTACGAAAATATCAAAGTAATATAATAGATTGTCGAACCCACAAAAGCAATGTCAACCTATCGTTATCTATTGCTACTATGTAAAGCTAAGGCTAATGAAATATGGATTTGGGGAAACTAAAACAAGAACTAAAACTAAATTAACATTTAGGAAATATAAAAGAAAAGAGAGATCGGTATGTGGATTCCATTGTACCTTAGGGACTCTATAAATCATTGGCGTTAATTTATGGTTAAATTACATTCCGTAGAAAATACTAGGTTAAAGACTCTATCTAACACTCCCGCGCTATTGGTTAAAGTCACACTTCCTAACCATGAGGTTTTTCTCTCGCTCGTCCATTTTAATTAAGAAACATACTTTGAAAACTAATTAGATCCTAATTGATACCTAAAGCGTTCTAGCTGTATTTAGGATCAATACCCAGTTCCCACTATCTGGTCATTTTATTACACTCTCGCGCTATCGACTCAGACCTTTATTTGCTTTTCACTCTCGCGACAAAGCCATTTGAATTAAACTTGGAAACTAAAGCCAAAACAAAATTTAATAAAAGGTTTACGCCAATTAATTATTGAGTCTCGTCGGAACGACGGTCCTCACATACCAGACCCAAAACAATTTAGCCAGACATAGTTGCGGAAACAATTAAGTAATTTTGGATTTTTTAATTAACTAAAGACATAATAAG